CTCGCCAAGCGACGTGCCACGGGACGTGCCATGGGCACGCACCGCGGGACGTGCCAAGGGGACGCGCTACGGAACATGCCAATGGACGCGCCGCGGGACGTGCCAGGGGACGCGCCGCGCGACGTGCCAGGTGGACTTGCCACGGAACGCGCCAAGGAACGTGCCAAAATGCAATGTTGAGAATATCGATCTTAATGTACCGTGCCGACGGCTGTGCTGTACTGCGCCGTGCTGAACTGCGATGTGCCATGCCGCGTTTGTACTCTAATAACGTTGTGGATCGAATCCTCCTTTGCATCCGAGTCCTGACCGACCTGATCTGGATCTTAAGCTCGAGCTGCCTGAGCAGATGGTAGCTGCCCCAGAACTAATCGACAAGGGGACATGCCAGGAGGACGCGCCGCGGAACGTCCCAAGGCACTCGCCGCGCCAAGCGACGTGCCACGGGACGTGCATGGGCACGCACCGCGGGACGTGCCAAGGGGACGCGCTACGGAACATGCCAATGGACGCGCCGCGGGACGTGCCAGGGGGACTCGCCAAGGGACGCTCCGCGGAACGTGCCAGGCAACATGCCAGGCTTCAATGCTAAGGGTATCGATATTGATGTACCGTGCCTAGGGCTGTGCTGTGCCTGGGCGACCTGGAATGGTGAAAACACGCGTTTCGCTCAAGACGTTCTCAGCACATCCTCATGCTAGACATCCGCCTGGGCAACCTGGACACGTGCAAACAAGCGTCTCGATCGAGACTTCCTCGACACATCCTCATGCTAGACATCCGCCTGGGCGACCTGGACACGTGAAAATAAGCCTCTGGTTCGAGACATCCTCAACAAATCCTCATGTTAGACATCTGTCTGGGCAACCTGAAGGCGTGAAACCAAGCGTCTCGCTCGAGACATCCTCAAGACCTGGGCACGTGAAAACAATACTTTCTCTTGAGGGATACTCTGAATTCAAGTCTCCAAGAGAGGACAATCTATGACACAAAACAAGCGTTTCGCTCGAGACATCCCCAACCAATTCTGAAAAACAAGCGCTTCGCTCGAGACATCCTCAAACATTAGCCTGGCGAAAGACCCAACCATATGCAGGTAGTAGTGGTAGTAGTAGTGGTAGTAGTGGTAGTAGTGCGGTGGGCGGCGCATTGGAGCGCAGCCACTGGGGCCTTCGGTGGAGCTCCCTATGGGGCCACGAAACGTGTGAGGGGTGTGCCGAAATCTGTGCGGTGGGCGCATGGGAGCGCAGCCACTGGGGCCTTCGGTGGAGCTCCCTATGTGTGAGCCGAAATGGGTGTGCGGGCGCATGGGGCACCTTCGGTGGAGCTCCCTATGGGGCCACGAAACGTGTGAGAAATGGGTGTTCCCTATGGGGCCACGAAACGTGCATGAGGGGTGTGCCACGAAACCGCGGTGGGCGCATGGGAGCGCAGCCACTGGGGCCTTCGCTGGAGCTCCCATGGGGCCACGAAACGTGTGAGGGGTGTGCCGAAATGGGTGCGGTGGGCGCATGGGAGCGCAGCCACTGGGGCCTTCGCTGGAGCTCCCTATGGGGCCACGAAACGTGTGAGGGGTGTGCCGAAATGGGTGCGGTGGGCGCATGGGAGCGCAGCCACTGGGGCCTTCGGTGGAGCTCCCTATGGGGCCACGAAACGTGTGAGGGGTGTGCCGAAATGGGTGCGGTGGGCGCATGGGCGCAGCCACTGGGGCCTTCGGTGGAGCTCCCTATGGGGCCAAAGCGTGTGGGTGTGCCGAAATCTGTGCGGTGGGCGCATGGGAGCGCAGCCACTGGGGCCTTCGGTGGAGCTCCCTATGGGGCCACGAAGCGTATGAGGGGTGTGCCGAAATGGGTGCGGTGGGCGCATGGGAGCGCAGCCACTGGGGCCTTCGCTGGAGCTCCCCTATGGGGCCACGAAACGTGTGAGGGGTGTGCCGAAATGGGTGCGGTGGGCGCATGGGAGCGCAGCCACCGGGGCCTTCGGTGGAGCTCCCTATGGGGCTACGAAACGCTGTGCTGGGTGGGTGAAACGCAAGGAGGAGGGGGAGGAGGAGAGGAGGAGACGCGGGCCACCGTCTCTTCAAAACGAGGACCCAACACCACAGGATGGTTGGGAATAATTTCGCCGGCCCGACGCGACCTCGTTATTTATCGCCAAAAAAATTCGCCGGCCCTACAGCCGTCAGAACCGGAGGTAAACATACTAAAAGAGAACCATGGGCCCCCGCCCTTTCAGGGAAAATGAGCACGACGGCCACCGCGAATAGACCTGCAATTGCTATGTAAGGTAGTGCTATGGTGTACTGTGAGTTATCAGAGGATGTCGTCATCCAATGATGGCTTGATCCCAAATCGGAGGACCAAGCAAAGAACATGATCGACCCACGAACCCGGAAAGGAATATAGAAACGTAACGCGTGGCAGCGTTTTCAAAGACACCTGATTGGGTGACGGGCACATGCAATGCTGAGTGTATCGATCTTGATGTACCCTGCCGAGGGCTGTGCTGTCCTGCACCGTGCTGAATTGCGATGTGCCATGGCGCGGTTGTGCTCTATAGCGTCGTGGATCGAGTCCTCTTTTGCATCCGAGTCCTGACCGAACTGATCTGGATCTTAAGCTCGAGCTGCCTGAACACATAGTAGCTGCCCAAGAGCTAATGGATAGGGGGACATGCCAGGAGGACGCGCCGCGAAACGTCCCAAGGGATGGCGCCAGGCGGCGTGCCAGGGGACGTGCCATGGGGTCGCACCGCGGGACGTGCCAAGGGGACGCGCTACGGAACGTGCCAATGGATGTGCCACGGGATGTGCCAGGGGACGCGCCACGCGACGTGCCAGGGGGACTCGCCAAGGGACGCCCCACGGAACGTGCCAAGTTGCAATGCTGAGTGTATCGATCTTGATGTACCGTGCCGAAATCTGTGCTGTGCTGCGCCGTGCTGAATTGCGATGTGCCATGCCGCGATTGTGCTCTATAGCCTCGTGGATCGAGTCCTTCTTTGCATCCGAGTCCTGACCGAACTGATCTGGATCTTAAGCTCGAGCTGCCTGAACACATAGTAGCTGCCCCAGAGCTAATTGACAACGGGACATGCCAGGAGGACGCGACGCGGAACGTCTCAAGGGACCCGCCAAGCGACGTGCCAAGGGACGTGCCATGGGGACGCACCGCGGGACGTGCCAAGGGGACGCGCTACGGAACGTGCTGGGGACAAGCGTTTCGCTCGAGACATCCTGCCAACATCCTGAGAATTCCTGCGCGCGGGACGCGGCACGCGCGAGACAACCTCGGAATTCTTGCGAGCGGGACGTGAAAACAACCATTTCGCCTGAGATATCCTCTGAATTCTGGACCCCCACGAGGCCCCCCACGAGGTCCCCGCTCGAGACATCCCCCAATTTTGCAAAACCAGCGTTTCGCTCGAAACGTCTTCAACAAATTATGAAAGACAAGCATTTCGCTCGAGACATTCTGCAAAATTCAAGGAAATCCTAGCAAAACAAACGAATTAGTCGAGACATCCTCGAAATTCATGCGCGCGGGACGCGGCACGCGCGAAACATCATCGGAATTCCTGCGCGAGGGGCGCTTTTCCGCGTCGCGGTCGGCTCTGCAAAACCAGCGTTTCGCTCGAGACATCCTCAACAAATTCTGAAAACAAGCGTTTCGCTCGAGACATCCCCAACTCTGCAAAACCAGCGTTTCGCTCGAGACATCCTCAACAAAATCTGAAAAACAAGCGTCTCGCTAGGGACATCCTCAAAAATAATTCCGCCGGCCCTACTCCCGCACGTAATTTATCGCAGAATAATTTCGCCGGCCCAAGTCGCAGGGGGGCCGGGGGGTTAACCTACTAAAAGAGAACCCTGGGCCCGCGCCCTTTCCGGGAAAAAGGTACAACCGAGGAGGATGCGGAGAGGAAAAATGGGAGAACGATGGCGTAGCTGGTCTAACGATACGTTTCTTTCCACTTCCAGGACCCCTCTTCCATTGGGGGAGGGGTACCCTTCCCCCCCTCTCCCTGAGGCTTTTTGGGGGGGGGCTAGCGAAACGTCAGAGCGCCCAGGATGGTTCCAAGAGGGCCCCCAATGCTTCCAAGATGGCTCGGAAGATGGCTCAAGATAGCCGAAGATGGTTCAAGATGGCTTTAGACATACCTCCAAGAGGCCCCAAGAGGACCACAAGACGGCTCCAAGTGCTCTCGGAGCCCCCTCAGGACTTCCCCAAGAAGCCAAACTTCTTCAAAACCTTTAGAATCTGTATGTTTTTGCCTCATCGCAGTTTCGCTTCCGACGCGGCTTTGAAGCCCCAAGATGGCCCCAAGATAGCCCAAGAAAGCCCCAAGAGGAGCCCCAAAAGCCTTCTAAAACGGCCCCAAAACCGCCCAACAGCACCCAAAGAGGGCCCCAAGAGGCGGGTTTCGCCGGTCTCGACCGACGCTTCCCCCGCCTGGGCCACGCTTGCTACGGTCGGAAACTTTTGCTTATAGCGTGTGTCCACGGCGGCCCCCGCGGCACGCTATGCCCTGCAAGCGGATAGCGTGTCGCTCCGCTCCGCGGGGCGGGAGGCTCGGAAAGGCTCGGCACGTGGACGCCTAGGGGGCGCGAAGTGATAACGTGTCGCGCCGAGGCGTGGTGGGCCAGAGCCGGCGGAACGACACGCAGTCCAAAAGCTCCCGACCGGAAGTCCGGTCAGGGGCATCTCCAGTTTGGGCTCCCAGTACCCGAATCGGGAGCTACCCCTGACACCCCCCAGCCCTGATGCTTCGGGGCTCTGATCGAGGGTCGGTTCAACCATCAGAGCGTAGGACGTCGATTGGGGACATTGCGTCCCCAGCAATTCTCGTTCTTATTCCCTCTCGTGCCTCTTTCCGCACGTCGGGCCAGGGCCACTCTTTGTGGGGTCCTATGAGCCGTCCCTGCTCCGCTCCCTCCCTGCCTCCCCGCACCCCTCGCGGAGCCGGCGGGCGGCGATGCCCCCTGGCCCCCGGCCTGGCTCCTGCGGCGGCGGCAGCCCCGGCGGCGCGGCGATTGCGCACAGTACCGGCGAGGGGCCCTTCGGGTCCGCCCTCCTCCACTAACTCCTCGTGCGCTCCTCCCCCTCCTCCCTCTCTTCGTTCTCGTCCTCGTCTTCGTCCTCGTCCTCGTCCTCCTCCTCCTCCTCCTCCTCCACCACCTCGTCTTCCTCCTCCTCCTCGTCCTCCTCATCCTCCTCTTCCTCCTCTTCCTCCTCCTCCTCCTCCTCCTCCTCCTCCTCCTCCTCCTCCTCCTCCTCTCCTCCTCCTCCTCTCCTCCTCCTCATCATCATCATCATCATCATCATCATCATCATCATCATCATCATCATCATCATCATCACATCATCCTCAACCGTCTCCTCCTTTTCCTCCTCCTCTTCCTCTTCCTCCTCCTCCTCCTCCTCCCTCCCCTCCTCCTCCTCCTCCTCCTCTCCTCCTCCTCCTCCTCCTCCTCCTCCTCCTCCTCCCTCCTCTTCCCCCTCCTCCTCCTCCTCCTCCTCCTCCTCCTCCTCCTCCTCTTCCTCCTCTTTTTCTTCTCCTCTTCTCCTCCTCCTCCTCCTCTTCCTCCCCTTCCTCCTCTTCCTCCTCTTCCTCCTCTTCCTCCTCCTCCTCCTTAACCTCCTCCTCCTCATCCTCTTCCTCCTGTTCCCCTCCTCCTCCTCCTCCTCCTCCTCCTCCTCCTCCTCCTCCTCCTCCTCCTCCTCCTCCTCTCCTCCTCCTCCTCCTCCTCCCTCCTCCTCCTCCTCCTCCTCCTCTTCCTTCTCCTCCTCTTCCTCCTGCGCCCTCCCCTCCTCCTCCTCTTCCTCCTCCTCCTCCTCCTTCTCCTCCTCCTCCTCACCTCCTCCTCCTCCTCCTCCTCCTCCTCCTCCTCCTCCTCCTCCTCCATTCCTTTTCCTTATACATAATTTCTCCCTGTCGCACCCCGAGGCCAGTTTTCGGGACGGTCTGGGCGCTGCGCCTGAGATTTCCTCACCATCTATGGCCCTGAAACTTAAACATTGACAACAGCTTCACAGATGGAGGGCGGGTGGTTTTCAAAATGTGGCTCTCGCCTTAGCGGCGCGCGCATTCGTTACCAAAAACTGCAAGAGCGTCACGGATTGAGGGCGGGTGGTTTTCAACATGTGGCTCTCGCCTTAGCGCCGCGCACATTCGTTTTCAACATGATCGACCCGCGAACCCGGAAAGGAATATAGGAATGTAACGCATGGCAGCGTTTTCAAAGACACCTGATTGGGCAACGGGCACATGCAATGCGGAGTGTATTGATCTTGATGCACCGTGCCGAAGTCAGTGCTGCGCTGCGCCGTGCTGAATTGCGATGTGCCATGCCGCGACTGTGCTCTATAGCGTTGTGGATCGAGTACCCCTTTGCATCTGAGTCCTGACCGAACTGATCTGGATCTTAAGCTCGAGCTGCCTAAACACATAGTAGCTGTCCCAGAGCTAATTGACAAGGGGATATGCCAGGAGCACGCGCCGCGAAACGTCCTAAGGGACGCGCCAGGCGACGTGCCAAGGGACGTGTCATGGGGTCGCACCGCGGAACGTGCCAAGGGGACGCGCTACGGAACGTGCCAATGGATGTGCCACGGGATGCGCCAAGGGACGCGCCACGCGACGTGCCAGGGGGACTCGTCAAGGGACGCCCTACGGAACGTGCCAAGGAACGTGCCAGGTTGCAATGCTGAATGTGCTGAATGTATCGATCTTGATGTACCGTGCCGAAGTCAGTGCTGTGCTGCGCCGTGCTGAATTGCGATGTGCCATGCCGCGACTGTGCTCTATAGCGTTGTGGATCGAGTCCCCCTTTGCATCTGAGTCCTGACCGAACTGATCTGGATCTTAAGCTCGAGCTGCCTAAACACATAGTAGCTGCCCCAGAGCTCATTGACGGGGACATGCCAGGAGGACGCGCCGGGGAACGTCTCAAGGGACGCGCCAAGCGACGTGCCAGGGGACGTGCCCTGGGCACGCATCGCGGGACGTGCCAAGGGGACGCGCTACGGAACGTGCTGGGGACAAGCGTTTCGCTCGAGACATCCTGTCAAAATCCTCATGCTAGACATCCGCCTGAGCGACCTGGACACATGAAAACAAGCGTTTCGCTCAACACATCCTCAACATATTCTCATGCTGGACATCCGCCTGGGCGAACTGGACACGTGAAAACAAGTGGTTCGCTCGAGACATCCCCAACACACCTTCATGTGAAACGTCCGCCTGGGTGACCTGGGCACGTGAAAACAAGCGTTTCGCTCGAGACGTTTTCAACACCTCCTCATTATAGACATCCGCCTGGGCGACCTGTACACGTGAAAGCAAACGTCTCGCTCGAGACATCCTCAACACATCTTCATGTTAGACATCCGCCTGGGCGACCTGGACACGTGAAAACAAGCGTATCTCTCAAGACATTCTCAACACATCCTCATGCTAGACATCCGCCTGGGCAACCTGGACACGTGCAAACAAGCATCTCGATCGAGACTTCGTCAACACATCCTCATGCTAGACATTCGCCTGGGCGACGAGGACGCGTGAAACCAAGCGTCTCGCTCGAGACATCCTCAACAAATCTTGTCGCTAGACCTCTGCCTGGGCAACCTGGAGGCGTGAACCCAAGCGTCTCGCTCGAGACATCCTCAAGACCTGGGCACGTGAAAACAAGCATTTCACTTCAGAGATCCTGTGAATTCTGGTCCCCAGGAGAGGACAATCTATAACACAAAACAAGCGTTTCGCTCGAGACATCCTCAACACATTCTGCAAAACAAGCATTTCGCTAGGGAGATCCTCAAATTCTAATTCGCTGGCCGACCTCGACCTCGATATTTATCGCAAAAAAAATTAGCCGGTCCACCTCAACTCCAAACCGGAGGTAAACCAACTAAAAGAGAACCCTGGGGCTTATGCCCTTTCCGGGAAAAATTGTAAGAGCTTCACGGATTGAGGACGGCTCCTTTTCAACATGTGGCTCTCGACTTAGCGCCGCGCACATTCGGCTTAACAAATTGCAAGAGCTTCACGGATTGAAGGCGGCTCCATTTCAACATGTGGTTCTCGTTTTAGCGCCGCGCACATTCGGCTTAACAGAATTCCAAGAGCTTCACGGATTGAGGGCGGCTCATTTTCAACATGTGGTTTAGCGCCGCGCACATTCGTTTCTAATGTGAAAAGAGTTTCACGAATGCCCATGATCAGTGTACAAAAGATAACGTCCTGGAAGGACTCGGGATTACGAGGGTGCAACAGTTTCGTTGATTCGCGGTGTTGAAGACCCAGAAACGGCGTTCTGATGCGATTCTGGATCTTCAAGACGCATCAGTCTGGTTATCCGTGGCGTTGGAATCCCGAGAACGATGTTTTGGCATGCGTCAGGGTTTTAAACTGATTCTCCCAGCGAGACAGTTCCTTCAGTGGAAAAAGAACCCTTGTATGGGCCTGTGAAGCGGGAGCTTTGAAAGAGGGCCGATTACAATATCGTTGATGATTCTTGGGTTTACACTGGTCCTCCTCCACCTCCTCCGCCCTTCCCTCCTCCTTTTCCTCCTCATCCTCTTCCTCCTCCTTCTCTTCAGCCCCCTCCTCCTCCTTTTCTTTTTCTCCTCCTCCTCGTCCTCCTTTACATCCGACCTCCCCCTTCAAACTCATCCGCCCCCCTCCTCCTCCTCCTCCTCCTCCTCCTCCTCCTCCTCCTCCTCCTCCTCCTCCTCCTCCACGACCATATCCTCCTCCTCCTCCTCCCCCTTCCTTCCTTCCTCTTCCTCCTCCTTTTCCTCCTCCTCGTCCTCCTTCCCCCAACCTTTTCCTCCTCCTCCTCCTCCTTCTTCTCGTCCGCCCTCCTCCTCTTCCTCCCCTCCTCCTCCTCCCCCTCCTCCTCCTCTTCCCCCTCCCCCTCGTCCTCCTCCTCCTCCTCCACCTCCCTCTCCTCGTCGTCCTCGTCCTCGTCCTCGTCCTTGTCCTCGCCTTCGTCCTCGTCGCCCTCTTAGTATTATTCCTCCTCCTCCGCCTCCTCCTCTTCCTGCCTCTTGAATATGATCCTCCTCCTCCTCCACCTACACCTCCTCCTCCTCTTCCTCCTTCTCCTGTTTCTTATCCTCCTCCACCACCTCCTCTTCCTCCTCCTCCTTCTTATCGTCCGCCTCCTCCTCCTCCTCGTCCTCCTCCTCCACCTCCTCCTCTTTTTTGGCAGCAACGCCAAGGCCTCTGTGCACAGCTGCTCGCACCAGTCCAGAGGCGCAACTGGTTCAGCACTGAATCTGTACATTACAGCAGCGGGATGAATTCGTCGATGTCGACGAACACACCCTTCTTATCAGGGTGGAGGCCTTTACGGAGCTTGCGCATGTTCTTCATGCCCGTCTCTGTCGGGGGACCGCACTTACGGCCCAGGCCTAGCACAACTCCACCACTGCTGTAAAACTTGCACGTCATGCAAAGGAACAGGTGAGACTGATCTGAGCATGGGAACGCCAATACCCTATGCCCGAGACGCTCCAGGACGGCCTGATTGAGCCTGCTGCGGCCCGCACACTCCGAAACGCCCAACGGCAAAGAAACCGCCCTGGAACCACGCAAACAAACACGGCACCGCCAGAGACTGCCCTGGCGTTCCATGTGCTCAAGTTCCAGACCAACAGGTCGAGGTGGCTTGGGCGGCCGGACTCGCTCAAGGCCACGGAACTCTACTTTGGGCGAGAGCTGGAGGAGCTCCGCCCCGCCCTGCAGCACAGCACGAGCTATCTTGATAGTCCGATCCAAGTCTTCCGACTCCGTCGGCGACATGGTCGGATGGCGCGACGCGCCCTCCTTCGCTGTCACATCAGCGTACGCATTCCCCACCCTCCGAAACCGCTCCCCCGCCGACAAACCCTCCTCGCCCACATCTTTGTGGGCAGCCACTTTGTGAAAGCCTCCACAGAAACTGCCAAAGTGGTGACGGGCCTGCATGACGAAGCCAGCGCATTGTCGGGTGGGCCCCAGCGCCTCGACGGCGCCTAGATGCTGCAGCAGCACTACGTTGGAACAATCTGAA